ATCCCTTCACGCATATAACCTTAATCATTCTCCCCACTGCAGCATTACACAAAAACAAAGCGCTGCCATAATGAGCAGCTTGTAGTGAAAAGGCAGAAGAAAGGGCAGTAATATGAAATCGGATGGAGCGGCTTTGATGCTCTCCGTTAACTTTATTGAGCAGCACCAGATTCCGCCGGACTGTGTTCTTTCAACCACAAGAGAGAACGAAGGAAGCTCAGCCCCACCCAGGACTAACACACGCTTCACATTTCTCATTTCCAGCACCGGGGCGAAGGGGTGCGAGGGGCAAAATGCAATATTAATTCCCCCTTGTATTACGTCTTAATATGCAGTTCATCTTGACTTTTGCACATGACTTGTCCTTTCATTTGCATAGCCCCGGCCTCCCATTTCCTAATTTCACAGTCATTATCCACTGAAGTCTTCTTCTTTTTTTTTTTTTCCGTGGGCATCACTAATTACGATGAACTATTTTGAAGGTCAACCAAGCATCCTTGTTTGCTGACATGCAAGTCCAATATGTGAGGTGATATACAGAGCACGTCTAAACATAATACGACCCGATGTGCAGAAAGAAAAAAAAACCTTTAGTTATTATTAAACTATTAATAATCTGGTTTCTACAAGCTTGTAAATGTGCACTTCTTAAAATAAAAAATTTATACCATAATGTACAGTAAGAACACATTTAACTTATTTTAAATAAAATGTCAATGATTTTCAATTTTAGCACGCTGTTCGATTTCTTTCAAYGCTTTACACTTGAGGAGTGTATCCCCTCATGGTTTTCCACTTAGTCTCGTCAGGAGCGTCTGACTTACCGTAACTACAGCTAGAGCAGCTTGCTCCGTACACAGCCTATTACAGAGCCCAGTTTTATTACCCATTACTACTGAGGTCATTAGCAGCAAGAGGGATTGTATGCTTCTTAACCTATTGATCAATGTAACTACTACCATTTAATCCTGTGCTGAAAGAGTGAAAATCTCCCTAAGACGGGCTCCTATTGAGTGGAAGGGCGGGAGGAGCACTTTACCTGAAAAATATTGCCTTGGCCGCTACATCATGCCCATTTAACGCAAACATGGGACGCCAGTTGCAATTTAKAGCGCTCCCATATGATGCCCTCCCTTATCTCCTGGATAACATCATGACTCCAGATGAGCCACAAAAATACATCACCGCCTAAAGATAGCCTAAAACGGGACTAATAACTGGAGGGATCCACTGAGCCCAGCTCTAATCTCCTCTCCCAATATAAGGGGTGTGAAAAAGAGGACATTCTGAGGATGCCAGAAATAGCTGACGTTTATGAATTTCATGAAGGTGCGGTGCTCTCCAGGTGCCTCCCATACATAAACATTCAAACCTGGAACGTTCTCACACAGCTGCAGAGTGACTGGAGGCAAAATACTGTACCAGCACGGGCCTGCTGGCCAAACACACACGCAGATAAACACACACAAATGCACAAATCTAAACTGTAGCATGCGAGCAGCCGCCGGTTCACAGAAGCACATGTGCGGCCCAGAAGGTGCTTTAGATGAAAAACTAAATTGAATTTTCTAAACCGAGCACAGTGCATATTTGTACGATGAGTATTTAAGCACAAAAAAATGCAAACAGCAAYATTTTCAATGATTTCGGGTGTTTTCTCTCTATTTAAAACAACTACAATCACTGTCAAAATATTCTTTTTGTTCTCTGCACACCTCTGTCCGTGCACACGCATGCATTCTGACAGGTGCAGAAATTATTTATCATTTGTGGGGATCTGCTGAACGCCCACTTGTAGCTGTGCATTAATCAGAGTAAAAGTGCAACATCTGATAATCAGAAGACACACATGCGGCATCTGAGGCGGCCTCCTGAGCGCTCCGTCCAATCACGAGTCAGAAGTCAACTGTCTGAGTGAACAAAGCTGTCTGAGACTAACGGCCGCCGCACAAAAAACAGTTAAGTAAAACATGAATGGAGCAGGGAGGTTGTTCACTGTGCAGAAAGGTGCAGCCGCCTTGAAAGACAGAAGGGATGAAAAAGGAGGAGGAAAAAAAAGAATAGAGGGAATTATCAAATTTTCATTTGCGCTCCCTGGGGTCATCTTGTTTTCTGGGGGCATCAAATAGAATGGAGAAGTAAAAAAAAAAGAAAATAACAAGCTCTAGAGAAATCACAGAGTCGAGTCCGTTTGATGCTGTTATTTTACCTTGGCCTACTGTGGCRCGAGGAAACGACTCCCCATCCCGACTATGATCTCCTGCATGAAAACGGTGCCGAAATGAGGATTTCACGRGAGCTATTGTATTTAAGTGATGTGTGAACGTAATTAGTCGCTGACAAGACTGGAAGGATAATTCCATATTACCCATTCAGGTTGATTGAAATCTCTGAAGTGGAGAGCATTTTCTCTCCACAGATTAAAAAAAACATTGTGTATTCATAATAATGGTTTTTACGCATAATAATGAAATATTAACCTTTTTTCCTCCTGAAATATTCCCTGTATTTAATAAGAGTTATACGTTTCCAAACATATCCCACAATTTAAAACTATTTATCCCCACCTAACTTCAGACTGGTCGAATTCCTTTCTCATCATCTACAATCAAGCCGTTTTAAAACTATTTACAGCGAACATAAACAAGCTAATCACAGCCACATTCGTCTCCCCGTAGCACGAGTGCAGCACTCGGTGTTCTGGCTGTAGGAGTGTGTGGAGGCTGCAGCCCAAATGATCTGCAGCAACTGTAAAAACAAAAGTTAAAATTGCATTTTAATTAACTCCTGGATCACAAACAAACAGGTTTTTCCTGGCGCTCGACCCGGTGTCGCGTTCGAGCAAACAAACCGAGCGGCGAAACGAGCGGGCTCTCACCCCAACAATAACAGCTGAGCTGCGACCTGGACGCCGTTTCCCACAGTGGGAGCAGCCGCCACAGCAGGTGACCGCTGCACACGCACACATCAACCACCCTCCTTTCCCTCAAACACACACCGAACGCTCACTAAAYATGTTGCTGCTATGAAATGTTCTATTTTGTTCAGAAAATATACTGAAATTTATTGCAAGATTACTCTAAAATACATTAGAAAAAAATTGAAAGTAAAAATAAAATTACTTAAAAAAATTAAAGTGACACAGATGCTCTTATATATTTATACATCTTCAAGTCCAAAGGTTAGAGCGTCTTGAACATTTCCATTTGTGACTCAGTGTCCCGTCACTTTTTTTGACCTTTCAGGCCACACCTCCAGGGACGTATTTCACACGATAATTAGGTTCAGATATCTGGCTTACCGATTTTCATGTGACTGACTGCTCTACCACACTCCACTGCTCACTGTCGTCCCCTTTCCACGACGCATCTCAGCATCACTGTCGCTGTAATCTGCGTGGCCATTCTCCAGCGCCACACAGTTGCGTGTTGTCAGAGGTGTTATTTGAGCCGGTTGAGATTTAATTAAGATGGTTGCCTGTAAAAATCCCTTTTTAAATGAAAAGTGTCGCGAAAAAGACAATGCCCAACACATCCTCGCTCAGACWCTTTCTATCCTCTGCACAGAAAAGCTACGTTAATCCCTCTTTTCCATGACGGCAGACAAGAAGTTCTGTTGCTACTTGATGCTCATAATTTATGTGATTTGTATAAAAAACACGTCTAACTTAAATAAACAGCAAGTTTATAAAAAATATGGGGATGCCCTAAATATTTTTGTTTTTCTTCCTGATAATCCACTCTTACTTTTTTGTAGTCTAACATGCCGGTGAACTCACACGCCTAAACGTTTTTATAAATTTATAGGTCATGACTGAAACAAGTGATGAAAAAGATTTTCCACCATAAAACACTCCACACCATGTAATCTCATC